GAATAGGAATGGAATTACGTGTTTTTTTTTTTTTTCTAAAATAGAGCACGTTTTCGTCTACGCACTGTTTTTCAAAGTTCACACATTAGCAAGTCAGAGTTGTGGCTTAGGTAGCAATTTTGTTCCTAGAAAAGGGGGGGGGACAAATTTGAATTTGTTTTAAAAAAAAAGAGAGGGGGGGGGGGGGGCAGGAAGGACACGCACTTTTTTTTTCAATTGGCTGATAAACAACCGTGGTATTTCTAAGGACCCTTTCCATGTTTAGAAATGCATGCCCTTCCGGTTTCGTACACTGATGTGCCTTAAAAGCAGGGTTGCCAGATTGGGTTATAAATAGCCGAATTGGGCTATATATTAGTGGAGTTGGCGGGATTTTCATTTGTTTGCTATTTGGCTACTTTTGAGCTATTATCTGTCTTGAGTTCAAATGCTTATTTTCTAGTGATTTTTCTTCTCCTGATTGATTGTTGTGCCTCAAAGTCATTGCGAATCAATTGCTTACATGTATAGATGCCTCTCTCTCTCTCCAATATCATGTGCCTGTAACTTCGCCTTATTATATATCAGCAGCCTTCTATCGACAGTTGCGCCTGTCAGTAATAATGAAGTCATTCATTTCCTTTCAAAGAGAAGCTTCCCCAGCTGGTTTGGCGAGACTGCTGAATCGTTCATTATCACGCTGAATAAGCTTGTAGACTAAAAAGAAAATGCAACGAAAAGCACATGCAAATTATTTAACAAGCCTTGTAAAATTATTCGATGCTATATATATTCTTGCAATCACAAAACTCTACGGATCGCCGTTGGTTTTAAAGAATATAACTTAACGCTTTAGTTTTGTTTTGCTTAATATAAGATCTGACATTAGCATTGAATGTGACTGCATCATTTAGCCTTAGTTAATCGCTTGAAGTTTTAAACCAGCAATTCGTCTCCTTCATACAACTTTGTCGGCCATCCCTTTTTTTTTTTGCTATGAACTTAAGATTGTGGCTTCACTTCTATTAATAAAAAAATTTAATTCAAGTAAGCCACTAAAATCACACATAGATCAATGTATTTTCAATATACATCACGTTTATAAAGAAACCTAACACTTTGGATGTATTTCGTAAATGAAGTGAGGAAAAATTGAGCGAGGAAAGTGCAATGAAAAATTGCGTGAGGAAAGAGCGACTTCGAGGAAATTATTGTGGCTAAATGGATACCGAGAAGGTTTATTTTGATTCGTCCTGAATGGAAGTTTTGAAGGCTGCTAAAGATAACGATCACGTGGTAATTTTAAGTTCCCCATGGTAAAGCTGCAGATGAATTTCAATCTGGATACTATGCTGCGCTGTTGAAGTTTTGGTAGGCTTACGTTTTTTTTTTTTTTTTTGAGATAGAAAAATAAATGAAGGAGTTGTTGTCACCATTACTTGGTGACGGCTGCCCCTTTCCGCTTGGCTGTTCCAATATAAAAAATTAAGAAACAAAATATATACACATGTGCAGTCCTGCATTGGCAAGTTCGAAAATTCTCATTTGGGCAGAGCAAACACACAGTCACGGTGCACCCTTTTAATGCAGTCCCCTCAATACTCATCACAAATGTTTGTGCCCTCAGAAACGTTGGGGAAGTTTCATCACTTGGCGGTTTGTCTTTGATGGCCTAGTTCCAGCATTCTCACCAACGAAAACGTTCGTTACGAGTCAAGCATGTGAAGTTTCTGTTGAGTCGCCTTCTCTGTGTCTTGTTTGGGGCACTCGAGCAATAAATGATATACATCCTCGTCATCGTGGCCGCATGAACATGTTGACGATGGTGCACGTTGTATCTGAAGTCAGAAGTGCTTAGCGTAAGCATTTTCGAGCCTTGGGTGATGTATGAGCGCGTCGATACGTATTGTCAGCCTATATGGTCTAATTCGCACTCAAGGGTCAACAGCGTGCAGGATCGATTCTTTTGCGCTGTCTGCAAAACCAGGTGGATAAGCATAATTCACGTTTTGCCCTTCGTAGAATTCTGTTGATGTCGCATTGCGATATAGTAATGAGGCGGGCTTGTGAGTAATGACGAGCGGCTTTCGCCAACTCCTCTGGCAATCAATTTCCCTTGATGCCGCCGTGACTGCACACTGAAATGTCATGCAATGATCTGATTTCGCAGGTTTTGAAACCTTTTTCAAGATATAGCGTGTACTATACGTACACCTATTTTTTCCTGAAGTAGCATTTTCCATGCACGCAAGAGCCGCTGGGAGTCTGTGATTACGGCCCACCTTCATGGTATCGTTAACAGTTACATAAAGCTGATTGCTTGCAAAATGCTTTGCACCTCCCGTAATCCCTGCAGTGTCTCAATGTACATTCACTAAACCGCTGGTGTGCCTTCACATACGTGGAATTTCGTATATATCGCGTGTTCCTTATATTGCCCTCAAGCAACTCACCTTGGCACATTTACACCGATGGATCGGTAACTTCATCCGCTTCAGCTGCAGCCTTCGTGATCCCTCAACTCGGTATTTCCCGACAGTACAAATTAGATCACAGGTCATCTTCGACAGCTGCAGACCTTGTTGATATACAGGAATCCATAAAATTTGTGAACGACCAAGCACCGCGTAAATGGGCGATTCTGTCCGATACAAAATCAGCGCTTCAAGCTATCCATTCTTGCTCAAGAAGAGGCCAATTTTACGAGTTATCGTTAGGAATCGTCCAAGCATTTGACCTAACGCACAGGAGCGGTCACTTGATTACACTCCAATGGATTCCGGGACACTGCGGCCTGGTTGGCAACGAAACAGCCGATAGCGAAGCAAGAGCGGCAGTATACAACGTTCTTATGTACGTCAAAGTACCGTATTTACGAAGTGACGTCAACACATTGTTGACATCGCTCGTGCGCTGCCACTGACTGGTCGCTACCAGATCACCGGAACAAGCGTCTGCGGGAAACAGACCCCGGTATGACTTTTCCTCTTCCGGCTAAAATCAGCTGAAGACATGCTAATATACTGCACCGGATTCGCCTGGGCGTCGCCTTCACTCGCCACTACACCCACCTAATCGGCCGTGCGGACAGCCCGAATTGTGAGCGCTGCCAAGTGCGCGAAACTTTAGCTCACATATTTCGTGACTGTGCATTATACGTGGCACAAAGAAAAATGCTAACTGCAACGTTGACAAGCATCGGACGAACGCCACTCACTGAGAGCTACATTTTGCCAATGAACGACCAAACAGTGTCAAAAACTGCTACAAAGGCTGTTTTAGACTTTATCAAAAGCACTGGAATAGATACTAGACTGTAGGGTACTATTCTAAGTGGCTACTGTACATACGCACCACCTCTTCTTGTCCCCATCATCATCCTTCATCCCTCTTTCCTTCCCCCTTCCCTTATTCCCTGTGTAGAGTAGCAGGCTAGAGCGAACTAGCTCAGGCCGACCTCTTTGCCTTCTAATAAGTTCTCACTCACACACACTTGCAAAATAGCTAAAAGCTCTGATGTTCTTGAAAAGGAGAAATGAGCCAGCCAACATGCATATTCTTCGTGTAACTCCGGAATGAGGAATGCTGATATCGCAGTCGGTGCCATCGGTGTACAGGTAAGTGTACCCTGCTATACCTCTCAAACAGGTGATGTGAGGCATACTGCAGTGCGGCAATGGTTGGTGCATCATGCTGGCTGCGAAGCCCTTCTATAGAAGTTTCTTGATAGCTCTAGCAACCACGGCTGCTAGTTTAAGTCCGGTGGCCAATATGTCGACGCGAGAAGCCGTGAAACGGATAGTCTGTTGGTATACATGCATGGTGTATTTGCGTTTCGGCACGGTTTTCATTTTTTTATAAGAGTTGATGGGAAGGGTGTTGCGCGGGGCGAAATAGGTGACGACAGGTCTGCACATTTCCAATAACCATATTAAAGTTGGGTTATCGTGCCTCTGCTAATGTCAGGGAACTTGCTGTGGCCTGTGGCAGCCCCAGACATCATCGTGGTTCGTGTTCTTCTGTTGTGAATACAACAGTCGTTTCGTCGCGCCTGATATCACCTCACAATATATACGTGGTTACCTTCCTGAATTAGCCCATTTTTTTTTAATCTTATCTTTTCGATTTAACTTGCGTTCACTTGCCGATCGAAACGGCGCCAATCACACATGGTCCCCTATTATGTACGGCATGCTCACTGTTAGACATCCAAAAATTCGCTCCCAAACAGATATTCTGCCTCCATGACCTATTTTTGACAACCCCGACCTAGCCGAGAGCGCAGAAAAGCCCCGTGACGAAATTTGAATGAAGCCGCGTTGCGGCAGTATATCTTGTGGAAAGCAACACTTCATCTTCTTTCTATAAGTGGATCACTTTACCGTTGCTTGTGATGTTTGTGCTAATCTCGCGCTGTACGGTAAGGGAAGAGGGAGAAGAAAAAGAAGTAATAAAGCCCTTACCACCTCTTTTTTTAGTGTAGAGCGTGACGGCAGGTATTGCGACATTCCTATTTGCAGACTGCGAAACAGGCGCGAAAGGATGCTTTGCGCCTCATGATAGTTGGAGAAAAACAGATTAGCGCCCCAAATCACACGCGAAGAAGAAGCAGTACTTCTTTGTTTTCAGATGACTTGCCGTTTTTCATGACCAGATTCCACTTTGTAACGAAAAAAAAAAAAGAAAAGAACAGCACAAGAAGACAATGACGGAATGGGCGCGCACACACGAGCGCTGATTCTGTTGCGACGCGCTTTCATTCTTCATCACGAAGCATTTTAAGGCCACCTCCTCTGCGCTGCCGGAGAGCTTACATTCGAAATCGCCTGTTTTCTCATGATGAACATCTCTAACTAAGAGCGCTGGTTCATCCCCCAGCAACTTTGCAAGTTTGAGTTTCGCGCCGGACGCACGAGGAAGGCGGGCCGAGACTGGTTGGCTGGTAAATTTCAGAATGGCGGATGCATACAAGTTTACACTAGAAAATAGTTCTAAAAAGCAGGAACAATTTTACGCAAGGGTGAATAGCTTGCGGACTATATTTTAAAAGGCTGCGCGATTCGGTGTTTTAGATAATATTTTCTTTTAATGAAACTTAAGAATACGCAGCTAAAGCAGTTAAAGTTGGGCGAAAATGCTGTCATGTTTTGTGTATTGGTGACGCGGTTGTTTGTTGGGCAGTTCGCTGCGCTCAACCAAGCATTCTCCACAAATCTTGCGACGTTTCTTGCGTGGTAGTTCACTTTGTAGCCTAATGAGTATATTCATTTTTAATTGTCACTATGTGGACGTGCAGAAAATGTGGAAAACCTGTTTACTTCGGTGAGTCTCTAGCGAGTGCTCATCACCTCCTTTGTGTTGACAGCGTTGAAGGATCATCGCTTTCGTCACTGATGCTCAATCGGATACCATTTTTAAATAAGAATAAAATGATGGCGGATACATAAAAAAAAATGAAACTTAAGTGCTAAGTGTTGTGTTACGTGAGAAGTTACATTCATTGAATGGCTTCTTGGAAAACTAACTCCAAAGTTTGTTGTTTTTCGTGTTAGGTAGTGAAAAAGTAACCCATTTTTAATGTTCACTGACAGGTTCCTAGCTTGATCGGGAATAAAGTTCACGTAGTTACACAACGTAATTGCCCTAACGCAATGTTCTTACATATTGAAACTTTGTCGCCGCGCACAATATCTAGCGCTTACCAATTGCATTGCGCTTACTTGCAAACCGCAGCCGAGCGCAAGACGTCGATGGGCTATGAGTGGCATCCGGAGTGTCTACGCTGTGAAGAATGTGGAAAAAGGTTGAACCCTGGACAGCACGCTGAGGTGTGTGCAACATATGTTTTGTCTCATGAGTATCAAATGCTGACCACTTGGTTGGCAAGTCCAACGCGGTGATGGTTGCGGTACTCGTCTGCCGACCCGAAAGACGCGTATTCAATTCCTGCCGCGGCGGTCGCATTCCGGAGGAGGCCGTGTACTGCGCGATGTTAGCGCACTGTAACGAACCCCGAGTGGTCGAAATTATTTGGATCATTCCGCTACGGCGTGCCTCATAGCCATATTGTGCTTTTTTTACACGTAACGTCCCAGGAATTGTTAAGATTAATGTGGTAGAACACTTGTGTGGATCTTTTGCTACGCTAAATGGCACTGCTGGTTACGTCTAGGAGAATATGATGATACTTCACTTGAAGTGGCCTCAGGTAAAAGTTTGTTAAAGTAAAAGTTCGCTGCACTGTAACAGCTATGTAACGCTGCACTGTAACAGTTGTAGCTTGTTGTCACAAGCTGAAGGAAACATGAGGTCTTGGAATGAAATTTAGGCTGAACGATTGTCATGCTCCTCATTTGCATGTGAGTTTACACTCATTGAACATTGTGTGAAAAATGCAGTGATCTTTTGCTGGAACTTTGGCTTAATCATAATGTTGCAGCGGCCACGAATTGAGTTACTGTGTCCCAAGCTTTCATGAACCTTCTTTGGGCAGAAAAGCACTTCACTTTCTTTTTTTTTTTATTCACATACTGCAGCCCATTAAGGGCTATTGCAGGAGTGGGTGAAAAAAAAAACAGAGTAGTGAATTACAAAACTTTTCCAAGCACATCTGTGCTAACAAACAACAAAATCTTGTGTTAATTTCAACTTTAGGGGGCTGTAAAATTGTTTGCATTAATTGCTGTTCAAATTAAGTGGGTGGGTGCTTAAATGAACAAACATAGCACCTCACCGCATGGGCAAAACACAAACAAATGACCTGTAGACTCATTGTTAATTAGGTACTACGACATGTTTGTGGCAGGTAATTATGTAAATTAAGTTCATAGGGTTGGTTCTAAAAGCAGACATTAATTGATCAGTCAGTGATATGCCAGAAACAAGCATTGACATGCATTCATGTGATCAATGAGCCTTAATGCCCCGCCGCGGTGGTCTAGTGGCTAAGGTACTCGGCTGCTGACCCGCAGGGCGCGGGTTCGAATCCCGGCTGCGGCGGCTGCATTTCCGATGGAGGCGGAAATGTTGTAGGCCCGTGTACTCAGATTTGGGTGCACGTTAAAGAACCCCAGGTGGTCTAAATTTCCGGAGCCCTCCACTACGGCGTCTCTCATAATCATATAGTGGTTTTGGGACGTTAAACCCCACAAATCAATCATCAATGAGCCTTAATGTCAAAATATGTGTGGCTATTTATGCTCCCGAAAGCATTTAATACATTGCAGAGCAAACATAGTCAAAATAAAAGTAATCAGTCATTTGCATTTCCTTGCGTTTCTTTTGTTGTGGCTAAATGAGCACCATTTGCAGCTTATTCAAGGGCTTCAATACAGCTTCTAAATTGTCATCTGCTGAAAAATGCTGCTGTTTGGTTGTTTTGCATCTCGTGTAAATTTTTACGCTCCTAAAAGCATTTAATATATGGCAGAGCAAACATAGTCAAAATAAAAGTAATGAGTCATTTGCATTTGCTTGCATTTCTTTTGTTGTGGCTAAATGAGCACAGTTTTTAGCTTATCCAAGGGCTCCAGCACAGCTTCTAAATTGTCATCTGCTGAGAAATGCTGCTGTTTGGTTGTTTTGCATCTCGTGTAAATTTGGTTTGGTTCAGCTTTGCAACACATTGTGATCACTCTGGGCTGACTTCTGCAAGGATGGATGGTTAAACTTCATTCGGTCCTTCGGAATGTGCCTTAGCACATTGCAGGCCGCTCCCACGTTGTAACAGAAAGACCAAGTCTCTCTTCTCCACGGAGTGGTGAAAAATAGGAGCTCCCAGTTCAAATTAAGCGTTGTGAATACTGACATGTTCGAATTACAGGGAGTTTTCCCCTAGAAATACATCGGTTGTGCCAGGTCTAGGGCATCAGTTTGAATGAATAAGCTTTTATTGTAGTTTTCTGTCTAGGGGCAGATGCTTCTGTTTGGCTTTATGACAACCAGCACGCTGTTGTACAGCACTACAGCTATCTAATGACACTTCTATTTATAATGTGGTAATGAAGCGATGTTGTCAACATAAAACCATGGCCTCTGTGGTTGGCTCACGTGGCACACCATTTGCAGGGCTGATGGTGAAGGCCACTGTAAAACTATGCCACAAAAAATACAGTTGTACTTGTTGAATGATTAGCAAGACCTGAAAGACATTGGATGGTGTCACAGAATATGTTCATTGAACTAGAATGCATTATGTCCCAAATTTTGTTAAACTAAAGTGAGTTAACAATGTGTTCAATGATGCTTCTGTGGGAGGTTTGAAAAAGTTCTATACAAACGAGGGGATTAGTTTGTTTAATTGGTTGTTATTTAAGCAGCATTTTATTGTAATGTGCTTTTATGAAAATTATTATGGCTAAAATTGATTGCTTTTCTACCTAGTTAAATTTTTGTGCTGTCTAGTTCCAAGAAGGTTCATATTTATTGCAGTGTCATTGTTCAACACCTGTGCAGTGAAACTTAAGCAAATTGAGCAGCTCTTATTGTTGTGTATTTCAGTGCTATAACATGATGAGGCTACTTATCGTTTTTTGATGAACTTTTTGTTCACTTCGAACAGCATAAGGGGGTTCCCTACTGCCATGTCCCTTGCTACAGTGTTCTTTTTGGCCCGACCTTATTTGGCCATGGTTCACAAGTTGAGGCACACACAAGCTTTGGAAAAAACACCAAGGATCGTCAGTGTGTTTCTTCTGTACCAAGGTATGTTTTGAAGGACCAACTTTTCGGCGGGTTTGATGTGCCATTTTGTTCAGAACAGTCACAAATACTCCGAGCTATATACAGTGAAACCTCCGTGATACGAATCTCGTGGTGCGAACAAAAATATTCTTATAATCCAAAATTGCTATCACCAGAAAACATGAACAATTAATATTCATCAAAAGAAATCTCGCATACGTTTTCCTTCTTTGTTTCTCAGTGTTGCAGTGTCATGAACTGCAATTAATTTATTTGTTTATTTATTTAAATATACTGCAGACCTTCTCGGTCCAAGCAGAAGTGGTAGTATATAAAATAATTACAATTCTGCTAAAAGTTGTGAATGCATTAAAAAAATTATTTCAATTCTGGTTGGCATATTAACAACAGTTTCAAAAATACAGTGCTTAGATCACATGCGAGTATAATACAAAAATGTAATACACTAATAAGAAGAAAAAATATCATTGATTTTTTTTATCAAAACATTCCACCGTTTCACAGTTGACTGCAGATGATGGAATGATATTCCAGTATGCTACCGATGATGGAAAAGGAGAGTTTTTATGGATCTCATTGTGACTTTTAGGCACCTGTATTATCTTGTGGTTAGTTCTTGAGCAGTGTCTGAAGGGTTCAAAGAGATGCTCTGTGCTCGATATTGTATAATGCTCATAATACAATTTATAACAAATGATTACCAGTAAAGTTTTTAGACCTCAAAAATCTTACTGTCACTCTTAAGTATATGGCTCGTGTGTAATGAATGAACCACATGTGCTGTGACCCGTGACATCTATTAGCCCTTTCCCAATCTCAGCACGTTTTTTCACATGACATCACTGCACTGCGACAAAAATGACTTTAAGAGCGCATTTGGCAGAGTAGATGAAAGCCCGAACATTATAAAACTGCTGCCCTTTTTTTTTATTATTTGCTTATTGCAGTGGTGCTAGGGATGTTTTTCGGGAAGTTTACGGCGGTGCCTGTACACTCGAAGGTGTGCTGAAAATTCGGATGTCGCCCGTGTAAATGGGAAAGTTGGCATGTGTGTTAGTCTTCAACAATCGTGCGAGTTGACGTTGTGAGGTCTAGCTGTTTCTCTAAGGCTGTCTGCTTCTTCTTTCAGTCCTCATGTTCCTTTCATGGATGTCACTGCGATATGTCTGGTGCCTGTAGACATAGTAAAACGATGCTGCTTTGAGCACAACAGCATGCATTAGAAGAGATAGAGAGAGATAGAAGGAAAACGCAATGTCCATGCCATCTGTAATCTAAATGAAAATGCATATGAAGGTGCAGTAAGGCCTCCAAAATTTACACGAACCATCTCGGAAACTACAATGCACAGCTGACAATAACTGGTGGCGGGGTGCCCATGCCCGTACTTTGTTTCCTGCGCCCACGCGTGACTGTTGCGTTTTGTGCGACAGCGCGAGTGGCACCTGTTCAATCTAGCGTGGCAGCGTACATTCATAGCAAATGTTTCGAGGGAAAAATTTCCCTACAACTGTACTCCAATACAATGCAGGCAATGTGCCTTGTCTGGGACTACAGAAAAATTCATATCACCCCGAAATTCGTATTGGTCATTATCGTATCGCCAAGGTTTCATTGTACAACGAAATTTTTATGTGTCCATCTTTTTAATATTTTTTCACCTCTTTGTGTGTGGAAAAATGATTGTCAAAGCACAGTAACGTTACTAACCTGCCACCACTGACTATCGAAAATGTACAAACATTTTGCCCCCCTTTTCAGACCTCTGTGGTATTTTTCTATGTGTGCGGTAAAATTCTTAGCAAGCACCCCGCCATCTATGGTGTAAGATAATCGTACAAAATTTTGAGGTGTTTGGTACCATGCTCGGTTGTAGGCCAAAAATCAAGATGGTGGTGAGAGAGAGAGTCTCTATGAAGAATGCACTAACATTTGTCTCCTAATGGCATGCCTTTATTGATACGTATTCATTTACTGTTTTTACTGAACCGGAAGGAATCTTTGTGAGAAAGTTCATGTGTTAGTACTACAAGGGGAAAAGACTCTTCAAATTTTCTAGCAATCTGAAAGAACTCTGAGGCACCACACCATCAAAACATCATGCACATGTATAAAGAATTTCAGAACTTGGGTTCCAAGGAATCACTGCCTCAGTATTCTGGTACAGATAAGATTAAAAAAAAGGGGGGGGGGGAAGTGGCAGGAGAGGATAGTGGGTGCTTGTTTCTTCTTTGGCACATATGACAAATTGCCCAAGAAGTGGATGGAATGGGGTGCTTGCTCGGGATTTTACGCTGTACTCCAATGCTGCAACCCCTCTACAGCAGCTGCACTGCTTGGAAATGCAAGTGCTCCATCTGTTATACTTGTGTTTTTGAAGCTGCCTAAATTGAGCCATATTTTGTTGGGTGATGTAGGGGGTGCGAGAATTATGTGAGTGCGAGAATTACACGAGTAAATATAGTATAATCATTGAAAATATTTCTCTGAGCTAAATGAACAAGTACTTGGCTGTAATCAAGATATTTACAGTCATGTGAATGCATAGAGTTAACATACAGACTCTAAAAGAAAAGCTCCCCATAGGATCCATGCATGAAAACACATAACTACTCGGATGCCGCCATGATGGAACGATACTCAGCTTTCGGGTGACGTTCACTCGCAGTCGCCACTGCATGCTGCAATTACACCCAGCATTTTCTCTGTTTCGTGGATCTCTATTACATCGCAGTGAAAGACTGGCACAAGAAGTCGAGTTTTTGGCTCATTACAACAAAAAACACGGACGCGGACTGACACGGCACACAACCAAGTTGGCGCAATCAGTCGCACGCCGCATCACCACGCTCTCAACATTGCAATAATGCAATAATCTACCGAAGAAACCTGCAAACGCTCCTCTCCGCGCTCAGTAAATTGGATAAATGGCCATTGTATCTTTTCTAAAAGTATTTTATATAAATTTTATACAATTTTCATTCATTCATAATACGTGAACACGCTTGTTTACGATTTTTATTGCAAAAATTGCAGTGTTTGAAACGTTTAAATTTAGCACTTCTTCCATCACAGTACTTTAGGTACGGGGATGGCAACATTGACGATGTTCCAAAATGTCGTCGCTTTTGTGGTTATAGCTTTCCTGGCCTAGCGTTTTATCTAGAGTCAATATATTAACTCTTAAGTGTGAATGAATAAGGTTATATGCTGAATGATGGCTTAATACTTGTTGTGTAAAGTATTGGTCTTTCTTGTTTATTTATTCATTCATTTATTAATTTATTTGTTTATTTAATAATTTCTTGTCTTCACTTTCTTTGTTCTTTATTTGTTGGGGCTGTTGTTGCACAGCTTGTTAGTTGAAATTTAGAAGTTACTATGCATCTCTGTGTGACTGGTATCATGGACTGAATACTTTCGGGTAGATTTTCATTAAATGTGGATTAGCTTGACTACTAGTAAGTAAACATCATTTGAGCTAGTGAGCCATTACACTCAATGCTACATAGGGGAAAAATATTGTAACCAGCTACAGTGGTCTAGTAGTTGTAGTGCTCAACTTCTGCGCCGAACGTCACAGGATCGAATTCGGCCGCAATGGCGGCATTTTGATGGATGTGAAAGGCTTGAGGCCTGTGTACTTAGACATAGACACACGTTAAAAAACACCAGGTGGTTGAAATTTCCGGAGCCCCTTGCTTACTTGTCCTTATAATCAAATAGTAGTTTTGGTACGTGAAAACCCAAGGATTATTAAATGTAAAAATTTAAATGTTTTGTTTTGTGAGAACATGACTACTCATACTATCAATCTGTAGCAATGTTTTACATTTTGCTGCCCCTTCTGTCTAAGTATCTTGTTGTTTTGTTGCTGTATATAGATGTGAGCCTTTATGACTGCATATTAAAATTGTTAGAAGCTATACCTTAACATTATTTTTTTTTTCCAGAAATCATCTGGAGGGAAAACTAAAGGTTTACAATCAATACTACGAGGGGAAAAGTGGCATTGTTCAAAGCCGTTTGGTAGGTACAGAAATCATGAGGCATTATTTCTTTAATATTTCTCTCTTTAACTCTTTTGTTACCACACAAATATGGTTATTTTCCATATGTCTCGAGAAAGTAGTTTCTGCCAGTTTGAAAAGTTCTCCAGCATGAATTGCTGCATACCAAACTTTGCACAATGAAATGCTCTTTCCAAAAATATATGTTCTAAAGCAACAAAAATATTTTGGAATGAATAAAAATGTGAAAAGTGTGTAATTTTTAGTTGCCAGATGGTAAACAGTGCAATAAAAACACTATATATGCAAAAATATTCCACTATACTATACTATTCCAAAACACTATATATGCAAAAATTTTCACACAAACGCCTTCTTTTTCTCTTCTTTTTCTCTTTCTTCGAATGCGCGGCTTTTCAGCAGTGTGATCGTGCATGCACATGTAGACAAGTTGTGGCCTCTCGTGGCGGCCCTAGTAACGGCTGAGCACGCCATGCTTAAATCAACCGATGGCTGATAGTTGGCCTGGGACGCAGTGATCTTGGTACTAACTGGCAAGGAGCTTTGTAAATGTGACCCATGCGCATAAAATCATAATGGCAATGCGCACTCAGTTTTGTCTGCTACTTCTACGCCTGTGCGCATGAAAGTGGTATACAGCGCTTCCAAGTTTTTGCGGTGCACTTTATCTAGCTCTCACTCTGCCTGCTGCTCCTGGGATTTTCAGCTCGCACAAAAGAATGTATAATTTTATTTATTGCCGCAGATTTTTTGCAAGTTCTCATTATTAAGCTTGTATTTTTGTTGCTCGCTGCAACAGGCCTTTTTGGTAACAGCTAAGGCTATTGAAGTCTAAGCAGCAAACATTCTAAGTTCACCTTTGCAACCATGAAATATCGGCTTGTTAAAGAAGCGGAATTATGGGTTAGTGTCAGTTGATTTACAGTGCGAAAATGAAAATGGTGAAGGGTAATGGCTCGCTAGTGCACACCAAGTGAATGGGTGGAGAAGTAGCACACGACGCAGGGGCGCACACTTTGTTGAACTAATGCGCATGCCCCGCATTTATAAATTCTGCCAGCAAATAGCGCTCCACGTACACTGGCCACGCACACGCGTGTTCCTACAAACATTGGATCGTACTCTACAGTCAGCCAAAAATTTAGCTATTCTGCATGAGGGGCAGTTTTTTATGTGTATCTTTGCCATACCACTGAATTAAGTTTTAGAAAAGGTGAGGACAAGTGTATGCCTAAAAAAGCACATGTCCTGAAAGCAATTTTTCGTAACTTCGTTGCGTAATACGGCGCTGACAGACAAAAAAAAGTGGCCGCAGCATGGAATAGCTGAAGTCTTGGTCGATTGCACACAAAGCATGCTAGTTATTCAGCGGATTGTGAAGGCACTGTCAAGGAGTACAATGTTCATGAACTATTATTTGGCACTGAATGTTGCTGTCCCTAGAAGTGATGTCCTATTGTTTGATGTATATGCTTCAGCCCTTGCCAGCCACCCACGCAGTTGAAGCTAATGTTGATCACAATCAGCTGTGGTAAGGCCAATCACAGCCCCTGAGTTTGCACATCTGTTACAAGGAACTTGACCTTAAGCACACTTAAGTGAAGTAAAGTTGCATTTATAAGGGCACTTTTGAGCATGTGAACATTAACACAGCCATTCTTCATTTCGAACAATGCAAGGACAAAAAGCGAAAGTTAGCCACACAGTGCAGTACCAACATCAATACCTTCCCCCATTTTTCAGGCCATTGCAATTGTTTTGTATTCTTTACTTGTTAAAAACTGGAGCATGGGGAACACCAAATAAATTCTTGTTAAGAAGGAGTGTCTTATATTTACAAGCTGTTCTTGCTTTTCTTTGAGATACTGTTTTTGTCAATAAACAATATGTGAACATTAGTTATGATCTGATGACATTAGTGTATATTGTTAAACCACATGAGATGATGGTGTCTGCAGAGAAATGGCCGCCTGATTTTGGAAGGGCCCATCAGAATCTACTGGGGAGTGAACAGAGTTATCCGGCTGAAAGAAGACCACGATGATCGCATCCCGGTACGAAGAAGGAGGACATCACTGCGACTTAGTCGACTGGCCATCAATTCTAAAGACAGAGGGGTATGGCATCAGCATTTGTTCTTTTAACCCTCCAATGTTACATTGCATTCAGGTCAAATTATCTTCTTATGGAATCGCTTAGGAAGCTGCCCACCTAATAAGGTTGTGGCAGGCATAGTATTAACATGGTAGTGTTGAAGAGCTTGTTTCACAGAACATCATACAATAAAAAGTATGCACTAAGTGGTTGAAGTATACATTAGGGGCAGGATATTGTGATCACATTCTACTCTGAAAGGTGAAGCTTGATTGTCCCCCCAATTTTAATTTTATACAGATAAGCTGACTCATGTGCTTTGAACACAATACTATGCAAAACTGCATTCTTTGTCTGATATAGTATAGCAAAGTTTTGCCAAAAGATCAAGAGCTGTGCGCAGCAAAGATATAAAGGATGGTGTCTGCAGATCATAACACTACTTTTTAGCACTAGAAAAAATGTTCTCAATTTCCAGTGCTTATGCCAGGTAAGGTACTGGCAGAATATGTATAAGCACGGCCATGCTAGAGAAGAGATGCAAATATACAGGGTGTACATTCCTCCAGAGAATACCGAGTTGTGTTCTTGATTAGTAGTTGCCTCATGTGACGAGGTGGAGTGTTTTGATCCTACACTACTCCATAGTTGATTTGTTTGCCTCCGACTGGTAAGAACAGACATACCGAGTTCATTCTTGCCACATGTTTCGGAGGTACTACAGAGATTCAATTTGTACTGAACTTTGGTGAAATGTGTGTTTGAAAAGGCATTATTTAGTAACAGCAACTGTGGTGCCCTAATTTTTAGGTGAGCTGAAGAAACTGTAAGATTTCGTACCACCATGTCTTTTTATTTCTGGTGGCACATACTTATTTTGTTATATTATTTCAATGTCATATTGGCACTTATTAAATTTTATGTTGGGGTGTCCATGCATTTCAGCTTCTTTTGTTAAAGGAACACTAAAAGCAAACAACATTTTGTGTTGTAATGAAAGGTCAATGTTCAAGAATGTATAAAATGCCAATGTATTATGAACAGCAGTTCTCTACTAATAGAGAAATTGAGGTAAATGTAGTACACAATATGCACCACCAGTGGGACATGTTGGAATGTGCCCAATGGGGTCAAAAGTCCAGAATACAATTAATCACTAGTGCTGAATATACTGTAAAACAAATAGCATTTTGTGCATTACAAGACAGTAAAACACTGCTTGCGACTTTTCTTTAAATCACGGACAAAAGACCTGGATCTCACTGCATATGGCGAATGGCGTGGGAAGTTTGAAAGTTCCTTTGTGCCAAGCTCTCGGGCGCACCATGCTCCAATCAGCCAGTGGTGTGATGCTTGAGCCTGCATCGCAGTGATTTTTGAGCATGCAGTATTGTTTGTCGAGGGAAGTGAGAGCATTTTTAGCTGACTTTGAGAATTTATTGTGAATTCCAAGCTGCATGCTGCGCTTTAATATTTGGCTTACGTGTTCTTGAGAGCCCCGACTACTGATCAGCATGGTTTTCTGACCATACTCGAAAAGTATTGCGGGGCCCCTTTAACTGGCAACCATTAGTGTTCCTGTATAGCCAGGGTTGGATAACAGTGGCAGGAACTAGTGGTGGTGAAAGATGGGACCTAGATCCGAACCACAGGGTGTAAGAAGGAACACATGCGTTCCCCTCTAGCCCAGCTATGGCATCAGATTGTGGCATTACTAGTGAACATAGAAGAAACAATATTTTCTGCTAGAGTATTTTCTCTCGTAGATTCCTTTACACAGAAGTGAAGCACATCTCATACCGGATATAGTTTGTGTCTATTTAATGGTTTGGGGTATACTGTCTAGAAATATTACTAAATAGGTACTATGGAGAATCACGATGAGATGCATCCTACCAAAATTTTCATGCAGCTACCGCAGGAGAGCTTAAAATATCAAGCCTAAAGCAAAAGGTGCACAGCACTAGAAACACTACATTTCTGCCACAGCTGCTGGTGTAGGTGAAGAGATTATCCCCCACAAACTCCTCCTTCTTTGTTTTTAAGTTGTACCGCTGCTGCTGCTACTGTTCTGAAGCTTTGCTCACAAGTCGTTTTTTTTTTTGCTGACTCTATATAGCTATTTTTTTACAGTTAGTGAGTCAAGGGCCCCATTGGCTGTGGCCTGTTGGGGCACTTTACTAAAACTGCTTCATATATAGTGTGTTTCAATAAAGTTCTGTTCTATTCTATGAGAAAGACCATTTGAGAGTCCCAAGGGAACTAGTTCATAGCACACACAAAAAGAGCATTTTCATTCTATCATGTGGTAAGGCTCACATTTGCTAGTTTGTCTGTTTTAAGAAGTTCCTCTCCTTCTAACCTTTTTTTTTTTTCAGTCCAAGTACTTGCAGAATGGTTCACCCGAGAAGGAAAGTACCAGTAGTGTAGAAAATGGCACAGAAGACAAGAATGGAGGTCTCAGAATGAGCACAAGCACAGACAACATGTTTTCAGAGCTGGCAGATCCGGAATGCAGTAAAAGCCACCCAAATGGCCGTTCGGAAATCGGCCGCAACTATAGGACGCTGCCAAACCCCAGTAAGCATTCATTGTCAGACTTGGTGACTGGCACCAGTTCACAACAGCCATTGACCAGTGAAGATGCCAATGGCTTTGAGGGTGTGACACTGCGCACCAAAGCTCGTTCATCACGGGTGAAGCTGCGTCGGCGTTGTTCCATCAACGGGCACTTCTACAACAGAGAGGTAAAGATGCTTTTTTGTTGGTTCATTAGATAGGATATGTATATATAGTGCAACCTCGTTAATATGTACCTGCTGGGGACGGTGGCATAACTACTCATTAAACGTATCACGCATTAACCACCAGCTACAAATTTGCATCTCCTGACATGCGCTATCGCTGCCAACAAAAGAAGAAACACAGTGCCACTGGAAATATTGCCTAAAGAGCCCACCGCAAAGCCATTTCTTTCTTTTTGCCCAAGTACAGAAATGTTTCAGACCCTCCCACAACCGCCTAATAGCATGCGGTGGCGACGCCGATTAGCATTTCGAAGCTATCATGGTATCCGGTATGCGCAGCGTAGTACTGCGACATAACGGACACAATCGGCTGTGTGTTATACAATTGTTCCGGAGTCTACTTCTAAGTGAAAACTGATGCAGTTTTGTTTTTTAAAACACAGTACAGTCCCACAGAGCCAAATGGTTTACTGCATGGCTAGTTGCGTGCAGCACTTCGCTTACCCTGTGCACACCGTGACTGCCGATCCGCTTGCTGTAGGGTACACCCTCTCCGCTTCAGGCCATGCAGAGATTCGGCGAGTAGCCTGCTAGGTTAACGCGGTGTCGAAGAGCTTTCTGGAAGCATTGTGCTTTCTGCGATGCTCTAGCAGTCCTGACCGCGTACGGAGGCGCATTTGGGCTGTCACTGAATGAAAGCGTGCAGCATGGTAGCAAAAGCGCTACGCTCGCTGTACGGTGCGTGCGTTGGCATAATACAGCAAGGTTTCTCGGTGCTCGCGATCTGCAATGCTAAACTCCATGACAGCGAGCTGCTTGCGTTTCTGTAAAGCGATGCGTGCTTGAACACAGTACCGCAGAACGAAGCTGCAGCGATTGACGGCCCAGCGAGTTCATGTAGTCGCCTACTAAAAGCGTACGGTAAGCTTTAGGTGATGCTATGCCACACACGGGTCCGAGCATACAGCTGGGGATGCTTACTGTGATAAGGCTTTTTGACGGTGATAAGTCATACTGGCATTTTTGTCGGTGGTCGCCACCTCGCCTTCGTTTGTTCCCTGATGGTTACTCGCAATGCCATCGCGACAATTGCACAGAACTCTGAATAACTTATCGGCTGATCTCCGCACATATCAACACGACGTAAAATGGCTCATGGCACATTGTGGCATCTGCAAGTTCAACGGAGCACTCAAATTTTGTCGCGCAAAATGTTATCCCAGTATGCAATTAGTACGCACTAACCGGTAGGCATAGGCCAAACACTACGGCTTAAGCAGTCCGCGAATGCATTGGTCTCTGTGAGACTCGGTCGGGGATTTGTCGCAACTACATTTTAACCATTAGCACACTTGAAGATGGTATGTGCTAACGAGGTTTGACTGTAAAGCTGTCACATCTCATCTTGGGATTAATGGACCCATGTTGTTCTAAATAGTACTAAAGCATCTCACTTGTGCTTGTCTTGATGTACAATGATGTTTTGTACAAGCATGGAAGTGTTCGGCAGATCCGCGCATGCCTAACTGACCTTGGTTAACAATTTGGAAAAAAGTAAGTTAGGTGGATACTGTATTTTGTGCCCAAATTTTGGCTGTTGCAAAAACTAGTTTAATTTCAGCTCTTAAAGCAAACTTGTATTCAGTAGTGTACAAGTTCATCCAATGTAATTCAATATAAAACAATTCAATGTAATGCAATGTGATATTATGACAGAATACTAGCTTCTCATAGAATGGGATTTTCATTCTATCGGCTATGTTGTAATTTTATGCGAGACTGAGCCTATATTTCATGTGCTATGTTTGTGTTGCAGACAAGTGTGTTCACACCTGCATATGGTAGTGTGACCAGTGTCTGGGTGACAAGCCTTGTGAATGCCCCAGAAGTAATTAACCAACTTTTGGACAAATTCAAAGTGGAAAACTCTCCTCAAGATTTCGCCCTCTACGTTGTTCGAGACACCGGAGGTATTATTACTTTCTAAGCAGACATTTGGAGGCAAGGTTTTGAACAGGAACGCAACATTGAATTGAGAACTCTTATAAAAAACCATCCTCCTTGCATGAGTCATTACTGAAAAAGTTTATCAATTTGTTGCTGCCTGGGAGAAAATCAGCACAATGATTTGAAAGATTTTTTAAGCAGACCATGCTCTGTTTTTCTTGCCAAGTCTCCCAAGAAGTAACTCTTTCATGTTCGTTTCAACTGTTTACGTTAGCCAACCACCTTTAATAAGTTTGATAAACAATTGTTAGGCAGAGATTTATGCTCTGTTTTGTAATTACTGACAGGCAGTTATGTTGTGTGCCTTCACATTCACTTCAACTACATTTGTGATCTATCTAATGAAGCACTTTATAGCATATCGCATTGCAATTTCTTTAGGTAGGTACAAGATCTGCAGACCAATGGCTCGTTCTTGTAGACTAGAATATGACTTCTGCACAGCATTTCTGAATTATAGGTTAAAAGAACCATGCATGATTAATGAGTGTGAGAAATTCTATTAGAGTGTTTTGCTAACACACACATAAAATATTCAATACACATGTTTGTTTCATAAAGTTCAGAAACTGTAGTGAAAAATAAACTGGTGAGTTGTAGGTTAAAGAAAGAAATATGAAAAACTTCTGCAGTTTCACAAATACTGGTTCTAGATGTTTTCTTAGCACCTATTCCTTTCACCTTATTCATAAAACATATCAGCAGAAAAAGTGTCACAGGCATTGTACAGCCAAAGGCGAAACCTGATGAAATATTTTTACCAGCTACTGCTGCTCATAGAACATGAACTAAGAACTAGGATTTTCTTTTCGATTCAGGCATCACACTGCCAGTTTTGTAGAAAATTGATTTTGAGGGAGTGTAATGACACCAATATTTATAGGCCTGTCCTTTGTTTTTGTTTATTGCAATGATTTTCGATGCTGATAAGAACGAAGACTGATGCAAGATGATGAGTACCCCCTTCTGGCAAGAGTGATGCTGGGCCCTGACGAGGCTGTTGCCAAACTCTTCATCATGAACAGGGAGAACACCAACGAAATACCTTATGAGGCAAGTGAGCATGTTTACCATTGGAGCTTGTAATTTTTCTTAGCTATTTCTTTTCTCTGAAACTTTTCAAATTTTACAGATATCATATTTGCAGTGAATCCACTCGTGTGCCAAAGTGCGCCAAATCAGATTTACTGAGCCATCCTGATAATAAACAGAAATCGCGCCAAACTACACCAAAGTCAGATTTAGGAGTGTCTATCACTGGCGATAGCCACGCCGGAGCGTCAATACATGTGCACCTTTTCAGGGCCACCAAAGTCACAATCGCGTACCTATTTAATTTCTCTGAATAAACTGCAGTTGTGCGTACGTCCTAAAATTCATGTTTGTTTAATGCCGACGAAACTCTGTTGTGCAAGTTCGTTTAACAGCGAAACGTGCTCTCCACAGAAGCTCGGGATGTCTAGTCAAATCGTTAGCGTGAAACTAAGGCGGTGATTCATCGGCGGACGTCATTCGTTCTAGGAACGCTGCTGATCACTCGTTTGAAGAATTGCACGGCATGTAATAAAGCGATTTTCACTAATGACTGCACGCGTGCCACCAGAATGTCAGTCACGTCTATGTCTGGACATCGCAATCTAATTTTCCGTGCTTCGTGTCCGCAGAAGAATGCGTAAACGGTGGGAATGCGTTGACAACTTTCCTCTAATTATACTTTATGCACGGATCATCATAGAGAAGAGCCTTTTCGTAATTCCTTCCACCAGCATATCCGCGTTTATAATCGCTGTGGTGGTAAAAGCACCTAAAAGACATTGCCCTTCGAACTCAAGGTTGCTAGGGTCCGAACTGAAAATTCTCGCATGCTTTCTTTTTAATAAAAGCATGCCTCCTGGTTGGAGCAGCCGAAATTCGGTTTTAATGCGTGCATCTGTAGTGAGGCCATTGCTGGCAGCTCTGGTGTCGGAAGACCTCTGAAGCCATGTTACACGTCCGTCTCTCGCTTTCTACGGTTTGAAAAAAAAAGGACTATCACGGCATTGTATTTGTTGCTTCATTTTAAAGGGAGGGGTGGAGGGAAACAGCTGCATCGCTTGAAGCTGGCGCACGCTATCTCGAGGCATAATGAGACTGCTCGTTAACTTTCTGTGCTACTAACATCTGCTTCGTGTTTAGATAACTGACAGCACGAAAGCTTTGGCAACGGTAGAGTAATCATTTTCCCTTTAGCCAGCGTTCTTTTGAGTTGCCCGATATCGGATCTAAAATAATATACAATTTGTTAGTTTCACTTATGCTCTTAGAAGTGAATGCGATATTAACAAATTGTATTGCGATACCAAATAATAAGGCTTGATGTGCTTCGTGAGAAGTGCTAGCGACGGGGTTGCCATTTCCAAGGTCCGCGCACTCGCAAAGACTTGATGCATGCGCAGTGGTCGATATCCGCGACTTGGGTGATTAGAGACCCCCAAACATCTCTTGCATGCCGATGCACGTACAGTTGAAATCAGACTTGTCTAGAGTGCCCAGCCAGCCGCTCCAGCTGGTGTTGTCTTCAGAAATATGTAAAGAGAGATGCCCTAATGCTACCAAACATGGTCGTACTGTGTGTTAGGCCCTTGTGCTGTGATGTAAGCATCAATGGAAGCTTGTAGCTAACTTGAGACAGAAGCCACAGCTAACAACAGTGTCGACAGGCACACGCTCCGCTGCTCTAGACTAGTGTGTTTCTATCTGTACAGCACGAACGGCACGTACAAATGGGCCTCTGAAATGGCGGGAGGATGGTGTGGCCAACGTTTTTAGATAGTAACATTGGGTGTGGCTGCTTTGTGATTAAGGCGCAGTGCACATCCTTATACTGTAAAAGCTCGTTAATTCGACACCCGTTAATTAGGAAATTCGGATAATTCGGACGGCTCTATTGGTCCCGGCCAAAGTGCATGTTAATCTATAGGACCAAACCTTCGTTATTTCGACGGAATTCGGCTCCGCACCACTTAATTCGGACAAATGCTGACGGCTGCTGCTACACAAAAGTGTGATAAAGCAGCGCTGGCACCACTGGAGTGAAACCGAAACCTGAGTGGCATCGCCATCATCATCAACTAGTGGGGCGATCGCAGCGTCACCGAACGTCGGCGTCTTCTTTCTTCTTCACTCAGCGCCTCCGACGCCATTTTTCATTGTGTTGTCGTGTCGGAACCATCTCTTCTTGCGGAGTTCTCTTTTTCTTCCATTGTGACCGTATTTGCATGCAACCACCATCATGCGCTACAGTGATGGCAACACCGAAAAAGCGGCTGAGTCCACCGACCGAGTCCACCGACGATGACTGCCCGACTTTCGATGCTGTCCTTCCCACAGATGTGACCTTTCAGGACTACATCGCGATTGATCATGGTGTCGCCACGAGTGGTCTCCTGACCGATCAAGAGATTATTAATGATGTCACGGGCGCCCATGAAGACCACGATTCCGACGAAGAATCATGCGAGGAGATACAGCCGCGACCTCATCGCACCTCACGGGAAGTCTCGGAGGCGCTGTTAATATTAGAGGACGCTTGCCTGAACACTCCCGACAGCTTGCGTGCTGTTGGCCATTTGGAACAGTTAAGAAAAATTGTGATGTCAGCCGGAATCTGCGCAAAAACGCAGACGACAATTACAAAATACTTCAACAAATAAAGGTATGCTTCTGCAGCTTGATTTTAAATGTTGTTTTTCCTGTTCATTCGTTAATTCGGCATTCGGTTAATTCGGACAGTTTTTCCGGTCCCGTGAAATTCAAATTAACGAGCTTTTACTGTATGGCTGCTCTAGAAAGCAAAGCACTTCTTGCACAGTCTGTTCGCGTTGAGAGTACAAGGTAGAGGTATACCAGTCGTAAAAGCGCCAGCGATCACACCATTAAAGTCAAAGCTCATAACGCCCCCCCCCCCCCCCCCCCCCCATCGCGGTCCTAGCTCCATCCTTCGTGTACCCTTGACACGGGTGGCGTGTTCCTCTCTTCTTGAGTAACAGTCGATAGGAGGCCTGGCATGTGGGATGATGTTATTGCTTCCACCTTCAGCGCAGAGGAGGTAGGTCGGTTCTTCTTATCTCTGCTTTAGCCGTATTCGTCACCTATGGTTGCACGCTTTTACCCGTGTGTAAAACAATGTGCCGGGGAATGTTATCGACAAAACATGAAGGCCAGTAGTGTAGCCAGGGGGAGGAGCACTTCGGGAACGTGCCCCCCCTCCCCCCCCTCCATTTTCAAAATTTTTTTCGCCATGGCGTATATAGTGCAAAATTACCTTTTGCCTGCCCACACCCCCCGTCAGATCAAGGGGCAACCCCTCCCCCAAATTTTTTAAAATTTCTGGCTCCCCTCTGACAATGGTAAAAACCAGTCGAGAATGTTCATATAATTGCTTTCCCATTAAAAGTGGATCTTGCCTTCAAGTTGTCTTAGGCGTATGCCTAAGGTACCCTGTGAGAATTTTTTTTTGTGTGCACTGCTTTCTAGAGGACACGGTAGAAGGTTTTTGGAGTGTAGACAGAACGCCCTAGCTACATTAAATATTGCTACAAAATCAAAAATGAAGCTTGTTAAATTGTGTAGTTTGAGAACAGAGATGAGTGCTGGAGGAGGTTGGCTTTCTGAGACTAGCTGAATAACGTCATATTACGCCCGGCAGTCTAATCAGTCGTGAAGGAAAAGAACCTTTTTTTATTCTTGAAGTCATCGTAGGGAAATGCACTTGGGACTGTGTGAGTCTCTAACTTTCGTTGTCACAGCGTTTGTCCACCTATCTGCTGATAACCACATAGGTGTGCTTTTATTGTTATTTCATGAAGTATAATTTTATTCAACCAGTATTTTGTTTGCTTGCTACAGAAATAATTACTGACAAAGGTTTTCCAGAATACTCAACAGCATGGCGCCATTGTTTTTGCATCAACTTAAATAGGGAGTGCTTCTTAGATGATTGCTTCCATGAAATTTGCAATGAATTTAAATATTTCTAGTCCTTCACAAGAGCCTCAGAATAACTTATGTCCTTCAATGTAATGCAACTTGCTTCTCCTCCAGAATTTGAAGTTAGCTGCTCCAGATTGCTCTAAAATGGAAAATTTTGCTGCTCCAAATCGAAAGACCTCGGTAGCATCACTGCATTTATAATAAGCTGGTTGTTTCAGTGTTGCATCTTTTATTAAGGGGTGTGCTTCATAATATGTTTAACTAAGCCATATATTGAAACAAGGTAAGGCAATGGTGATGTTCTGTACCACAAGTTTAGGATAGTAGGAGTTAAAAAACGTATTTAAGGTTACGAAAAACATATTTAAGGTTGCTGTTTTCATGTTTAAAAGCCATATTTGCAATCTTGACATTGCCTAAGCAAATATCAATGTAGCCCTTTCAGATTTCAGATTGCTTGCTGCCAACTTGCATGTTTTTTTGCTTTTTTTTTTGTCACTCAGTTCCGCAATTCTAACCAAATTCTTCATCTTGCATCTGAAACATACTGCACCATATACAGTAAGACCTTGGTGATAAGAAATTTGTATTGCCAGAAAATATGAAAATTTTGCATCGACTAAGGAAAGGTGGTGCACGTTTTCATTTATTGTTTGCCAGAACAGGAGCAAAGTCATGAACAGCTCTGAATGATTGCCAGCAAAATTTGTTGACTTTAGCGGTCATTCTTGCACTCGTAGACATACGACCCATGCACTCCTGTGTAATTAGTGATCCAGCAGGGTGTCTACCAACCTGGAAAACCTGGAAAAAGTCGGGGAATTCGGACCCTTCTGGGAAAGTCACGGAAAAATCAGGGAATTTCTTAAAACTCTGGTCTGGTCATGAAAACTTACTGTAGCCTGTGTGACTATCAGAAAAATAAGCATTACCGTAAATCAAACTTAAAAAGCCACTTGTTCCACTGCAACTACTACATCAAAAGTCGTGTGAAAAAAAAAAAGCAGTGCGCTAATGTTGTTTCCTAGTGAAAACGCAAAAGGATACACCTACCAAAAGAATACAAAGTTTACTGACATTATGGCACCCACTAGGGGAGCCTTGTTCGCAATAACATCCATAAGAAAGGCACAGCATATTTAAGTACGCCTAAGTACGTGACATAAACACCGGAAGTACATTGTTGAAAGCGTCCCATCACTCCTTTTCAGCATATGTGCAGTTGTCTTCACGTGCTGGTATTTCAGGTACAGGCATGATGCAAGCATTCCTTTGGCCAAAACACGCACACTTGACCAGTCAGTTTGGTGGCCTGTAGAAACCACATGTTTAGCGAGGGCATATAAGGTCATGTAGTTTCTGGACGTCATATTCGTGTTTTCTTTAACAACGAGGAAGATAAACTTTTTGTAGATGGTCAATTCTGGGTGATAATGAATGAGGGGGCGGGGGTAACTTTTTTCTTGAAATCAAGTGGTCTCACTGATCTACTGTTTGTCACAATTGTGGCAGCCTAAAGTAAGACAGTGGAAATTTTTGCTTCGCAACTTCTCCTTCACGTAATCTAAAGCGTTCCCTAGGTTTCATATTTGTACATACACTATGTTGATGTCCGTTATTCCTACAGATCACGCACCATATCTGACTTTCCTACTACAACATAATTCAGGTCGTTAAATTTGTGCATGTTTTTCTTGACCATAATTTGTCTCGGCTTGAAGGTCTTCTGGTTCAGGTAGGACTGCCATTAGCAGATGCTTGCCGGGCTATGTCATGCCTTTTAATACTAATATTAGTAATATCATCGTTATTATTAGCGATGCAGCGGCAAACGTCCTCAGCTACACACTTATTGCTGATAGCTCGTCTTTCATCGGTAGAGTTGGGTAACTTCATCTAAATTTCTCATTTCAGTTTCTGGGGATGGTATTAATAAATCTGTGATTACATTTAAGCCTTATATCCATAGAAGAGTACACAAACGAAGGTAATCCGCCGGCATCTGCGATAAATATATGGAATCGAGGGTGCTGTTGCGCCCTAACAGATTCCTTCTTGCCAGCACACGTTCAAACGTTATCGCTTTAAACGCTACCCCTAGCTTTCATTACAGCCATCTGAAGACTTTGTCGAAACATCAGAGACCGGGGAGATAAAACATCGATTGATTGATTGATATGTGGGGTTTAACGTCCCAAAACCACCATATGATTATGAGAGACGCCGTAGTGGAGGGCTCCGGAAATTTAGACCACCTGGGGTTCTTTAACGTGCACCCAAATCTGAGCACACGGGCCTACAACATTTCCGCCTCCATCGGAAATGCAGCCGCCGCAGCCGGGATTCGAACCCGCGCCCTGCAGGTCAGCAGCCGAGTACCTTAGCCACTAGACCATTGCGGCGGGGTAGATAAAACATCGACATGCATGTGCTCGTTATGAAAAAAAAAATGATGCAGTAAAGTTCTGTTCTTTTGACGTTGTTAGTCATTGTTCAATGCAAGGTGCACAGAATATGCGAGTAATGGTGTTCTTTTTCCTGAAAAGTATATACTAAAGGTGTGCAGTTTAGGTGGGGATGCAAATAAATAGTAAATACAGCAATTCAAGTTGCGTCAGATCAAATCCAATCCACATCCTAAGCTGCCTGGGCTGTAACCATTATAGTGAACTAGAATATATTCTAGTGGCAGAACCGACCGGGCTCCAATGTCCTCCTCTTACACAGATGCCATGAGATGGTGCCACTTCTGCATTTTCTGGCATATTTGGCTGGATTGTAGGACTGTCGTGGGCTCCGGTAAATTTTAACTGCAGATAATTTTAACTCGTGCGTTTCTTTTCTGGTTCTTCAAACATTAAGCAGCCAACTTGCTTACTCTCTCACTCGGAGGTTTCATTTTGGCCAGGTACATACATATTTTTTTGTATCTACTGTACGTGCTTAGAGCATTTTGAGCACTTGTAGCGCATTTAATTACTCATTTTATAGGAGCGCCTGATTTTTTTTATTACTCGAGGGTCTGTTTCCCGTGCACAGAATTTTCCAAGCAAACGTAAGTGTCATGGAATTTGCTTCAAATCACAGTGGAAAACCTGGAAAAGTCAGGGAATTTTGTAAAAGCAAATTGGTAGACACCCTGTCCAGGTGTGTTGTGACACGCCACAGCTCATAACCCCCTTCTTAATCTTAGTGCACTTTTCCACGTATCGCCATGAGTACTGCAGCAAAATTTACTTTAGGAGCACTTTACATGCAATTGATGTAGGCTTGAAAAGTTTTTTTGTTGTTGATTTCTTGTTGCAATGACATTGGCGTATTGAGAAATTTTTGGCCATGCCCACACAACCAGAGATTTGGCAGATGTGTGCGTTCCCAACAATAGTGCAAGGGGGCGATGCACCACACAAAGGTCATGTCGCTGTCCATCGTGGCTTTGAGCATTTTCTCATCTTTTCTCTTTGAACACTGGCTACTGCTTCTAATTCAGACATGTGCAGTGCTGGCCAACGGCAGCATGCCATGGTGGCTGTAGTATTGCATTGCACATGGCTTTCAAGTTCATCTGCCAGCATGCTGCTCATAAAATCAGGCAATACCTTTTGTGCCCACTAGCTGTGTACTCAGCCCCATTAGCTCCATAGTTCATGAGAGCACTGTAAAAAAAAGAATGAGCTCTTTTTGGATGTTTTTGGCAGGAAATGGTAAATTTTCAGCGGCATGCAGTGCTTCGTTTGCCTAGCATATTCATCGGAGCTTTGACAAAGAATATAGGCAATGTTTTCTGACTCTGTTTAAAAAAGTGTAGCAGGGCCTCATTAATGTAGTTTTCTTTCTGTCTAGGTTGCACAGTATCTCAACTTCAGTGAAGTGGAACTGACAACATTCATCAAGAAGTTTCATGAAGAGGAGGACAGAGAAGTGGAAAAGATAAAAAACAAGTCAGTTGCTATCATTGATTTGTTCACATCTGAATGTAAGCATCGTGAACTAAAGAAAATGAAACCTTATCAAAACAATCAAACCTCACAAATCAGTAATTTAAGGGGATACTGACACAAAATTTCGCAGCCGAGATAGCCTGCGGGATTGATTCTTGCGTACATGGGTATATCATCTGCAAAATATCAACAGCGAACATAGTGTAAAAGACGGAGACGGACGGCATCCCTGCCGTCTTCCATCTTTAATTCTCTTCTTAAGTGATGTCTCTTCTTTGCCTTCGCCACCCCTTATTCTGAGCATTATTTTGCTTAGGCCATGTTGTAAATAGGCCATGTAATTTCTTACAATGGCACCTTTGGCTTCATTGCCACCATCGGGCATTCCCTCGCCATGTGGGTAAATCAAGTTCTCTTGAGACATCAGCAGTGAATTCGTGGTTAAAAGGGCAGGTGCTTACAGCAGTCTTCTATAATTTTGCTGATTGAACGTCAAGGTCTGATATTACGCTTTAGATGTCGCAAAGTTTTCACAGTTCTCGACGTCTTTTCTAGTTCCTCAAGATGTATAGTGTACGTTCATGTCCTCTCTCACTGGTTTTAAGTGCAATTTCTTGAACTTGCTGAGCTTTGGTGATCTAGACTAATGTATCATGTCACTTTCTTTTCTGACTTCTTCAATAGCTGTGCGCAGTGATCTGGGTATCCTGGAGTCACTTCATTTTCATGTCAATCGTTGTGTCTGTTTCCTTCGCACTTATGAGTCCATCTGTCTTGCACATCAAAATCGACAATGATGGCGTGGCAAAATCTGATTCAAGCGTTGGGTTTTCATAACTACTCACAAAAAGGCATCAGTATTCCGACTTCAGGACCCTTGGATTGACTTGCCGTGCAAACACGGCGGGTCGAGTTGTGAATGGCTTCGAGATCTGGGCCTGCAGGACAGGCTTCATTGCTGCGAAAGTTCGTTGTCCTGGCCTTGTGAGACTCGTAGTAGTCACTGAAGAAAAAAGTTAGTAGATGGCCAGCATTGGCAAATCCAAAGGAGGGGGGGGGGTGATAGCCCCCTCTCTAAATCTCTGTCAGCGCCCCTCCCCCTGAATTCAATGCTCCTAGTCCACCTTATATCATCAATGAGGACAAATGAGTGAACCCACTGTGGGCACACATGAACAGTATTTGTGCGATGAAGGGGTTTTTCTGCTATAAAAACAAGAAAGTCATGACCACGCCCCTCTTTTCGTTGTTACCCTAAGTGACCCCTACCCGCCCCCCCCCCCCCTAAAATGAGTGGCTAGATCTGCCCCTGATGGCCAGACATACTGTTAACTTCTATCTCCATAGGCATCCTAGCCTTGTGAGCCTCAGGTCGTCGGATTGAAAGGCAAGGGCAAATCAAAGCCGAGGAAAATGGAATGTGCTCCCGCCTCGCGAACCTCCTGGCAGCAAACGCTGTCTCATTCATTCATGACTCATCTCTCCATCTCGGTTTGAGCCGGAGACCTGGTCCCGTGTTTCATGGCACCAAATATCAAAGACAGAGACTGACGGCATGCATGTCGTTTTCTTCCATCTGTAATTCCACTCTCATCCTAATCGTGATTGTAGGTGTGCAGTGCAAGATCGTCTTAGTCTTCTATTTTCTACTCATAGCTTGAAAGGTATTTTGCATTAATTTTAAAAATTGTGTGCGCGATCGAGCACTGGCCCCTCAGACTCGACCTGTGGTGACCCCCCTACTTCCCTCAAGTTCGCTCACTGTAATCAATAGATCAAGTTATGAAGACATCTTAGCCGCCATTTTTCTTTTTGCCGCGTTTGCTTCAGCAGACTACTATGCAGTAGCTGCTTGAGAGTCTGTGGCTGTAGTGCACGTTTTGAAAGTTTTGTGTTTTGCAGCATTGCCATCGAGTTTCCTGATCATATGGACTTCTTGATGTGTACTGTGTGGACGTGCATCACAGTTCTGTGTGCTAACGTGGTCAAGCATTGCACCTGCTAGGTGGTGATAGTTGCACCCGGTTGCTTGTCGTTTTACAGCGAAAACTTATGAGATCACAAGAAGGGTCGCTGATGTCTGTAACCACTATCGCGCTAAATAAGAAGGAAAAAAAGACAACTACATGAATAAAAAACACCTGATGCAACCGGATTCGAACCCGAATTCCTTGCGTGCCAGCCCCGTATTCTGCCACAGAGCAACGCCGGTGCTTGAAACTCTATTGCAACCTGGCCTTAGGCAGGCTTGGTGTTGGAAATGGGGTCACGTTAATATGAGTAATGAATTGTCTTAGAACAGCAGATTAACAACCTGGTGTCACACAATGTGAATTGCCTAACGAGTCGTTGTTGATTGCTCCAACCTATTACACAATTTTTAGGCATAATTCTTCATCGTCTGCTGCCACAGCAAAAAAGAAATTGCACGAAATTTTTTGCAAGTGTGTAGTGGGTACCTTGCTTTTCTGATGAGTGGCAAAATGGATGCCTCTCTACTGTACAAAAATTATGATTTATCGTGTAGTGGGTACCATGAAAGTATGTTTGTAGGAGTAGCCCAAAGAGTAGCGATTGTGCTGTGCATTTTGTACAGGCGTGGTAGTTTTTGGAGCTCTCTCAAACTGAAACTGAGACTGGTCAGTAATGAGGAGCCTATAATGAATTATTTGTTACACGCAGCAGCAAACTATGTTCTATGTTATGACTGACAGGCCTCCAGCAACACATTGTAGCAAAAAAAAAAAATATGAGGCCGAAATTTTCGTGTCAGTGACCCTTTAACCAAAAAATGCTCTTGAAAAGCCATATCCACAGAGTACAAAAGTGGAGATGATAAATTACTCAAGATACCGTTGTCAAAAGATCAAGATTTGTTAAGTGTTGGGGGCTTGTAGCAAGACAAGATGAAATTTATAGCTTAATATAGAGTTGTGCGTATATTCAGCTTTTTATATATTTGTCTAATAGTGTTTACTAATAGATTTTACTATTCAAGATATTTGAACTTCCAGAAAATATAGCCATCTCACTCGTTTTACAAGTCAAATCGCAGCGAAACCCAATTCTGCTTGCGTAAGGTTAACAGCCGTGACCACACATATTATTTTAAACATGGTAGCTCGATCACTGTGCACAGGCTAGACAGTGTGCAGCGTAAAAGTACAAAGCGCAGCACCTGTTCATACTGTACTTCATCGAATGTAACGTGCCCCCAGTTTCTGAGAGTTCCAAATAGAAATGCATCTGTGCGTAATGTTAAATGATCTTTTACCAAGTACAGGATGCTGTTGTGTTGACGTATACAAAAAAAGAAATCACAGCGTATCCACGGAGTGAATGATGATGAGTGGGGCGATGCTTCGGAGGGTTTTATCGGTAAACCATGAATCGTCCGTCCATCAGTCTGTCTGTCTGTCTGTCTATCTTTGTCTGTCCGTACGCACCTGCTGAGTGAGTCGTATAACTAGGCAGTCATGTACAAAAATGAGACACAAGGGTACACAGACCCACAGTTTTAGGAGCTTCGCCCCTAACAGGCGGGCATAATGCACACTTGTAGAAAGTGAAAATTCTTCTGCTGGCAGTTCCTTTCCTTCAGTGATCCACTTTTACTGCCTTCAAGGTCACTTTTGTATAAGCCCCTATTCCTATGCCATTTCAAGGGCCGTTACCTAGACAAGTTCGTTCTACACGAAGCTTCTTGAGAACACCTGCAAGCTTGTCATCGAGGCCTGGATGGCTAATGTTTCGACAAGTTTGCTTGTCTTTATCAAGGCTATAACTGCCTTCCTCAGCACCATATTTGTATACGTTTTGCTCACTCTCCCTCAACTTCAATAGCAGAGGAGGGGAAGAGAAAGCATGTACAAAAATGAGGGAAGGGGAGAATGGGACTGGTTTAATATGTGGGGTTTAACGTCCCAAAACCATCATATGATTATGAGAGATGCCGTACTGAAGCTTGGCTCTGGAAATTTCGACCATCTGGGGTTCTTTAACGTATACCCAAATCTGAGCACATGGACCTACAACATTTCCGCCTCCATCAGAAATGCAGCCGCCGCAGCCGGGATTCCATCCCGCGACCTGCGGGTCAGCAGCCGAGTACCTTAGGCACTAGACTACCACAGCGGGGCAAAGAGATAAATGGGAAAAGAGGGATCTATTCAGTTAGATGTTGGTGTGGTATGGTATTTTCTTGGTGCTCTTGGTTGGGGCTATGGGAACAGGAAGTGGTGAGAGTTTCTGAACAATAGTAGTGCCAGTTCAGTTAGTCTGCAGACACCTAGTGTAACATTAACGTGAGGAAGCAAATACAGCTGAGCGCCCGGGGTGTTTTTCATGCATATCTGTCGTGTGTACCGTATAAACCGGAATATAGGTCGAGATTTTTTCAATAAAATAATAAGCTAAGGTCGCCCCTCGTCTTGTATAGCGGTGTCTAGCCGAAAGTGCGACGCTGTCTGGCAACATATGGCTTGCATGTGCTTGTGAAGCCAGACGCGGCCATATCCACATCCAAATCCAATTGCAGTCTGTTTTCTTTGTGTTGGTGATTTGCTTCCGATCTGTTCCGAGTTTTCGCTCCGCTTGACATTGCGCTGCATTTTTAGTGGCCTTTTTTTTTTTTTTTCGTTCACTGAATATGTCTAGCGGTGCGAGAAGGCAGTACTCAGCTGCGTTTAAACTAGATGTTGTTAAGTTTGCAGAAGCGAACGGGAATATGGCTGCTCAGGGCCGCTTTGGTTTATCAGAAAAATCGTGCGCTATTGGAGGGCGCAGAAAGGGAGGGAAGCTGCATATGTGCAATCCTCAAAAAATGTCATTTCGTGGACGAAGTGCCGTTCATCCGCAGCTGTAGGATAAGCTAGCGGACTTTTTGCGGGAAGTTCGTGCGCGCTCGCTGCCAGTGACCGTAGATACCATTTGCAAGAAAGCCGTGGAACTAGCTCGGGAAGCTGGGCTCACGAAACAAGAGTTTCGTGCACCGAACTCTTGGGTGCGTCGATTCATGCAAAGGATTTTCTCTCCAGCGGCGCACATCCATCTGTCAAAAGTTGCCGGAGGAGTTCGAGGACAAGCTCATAAACTCTCAGCGCTTTGTAAACCGGCTTCGGGAGCAGAACGACTACATGATGGGGCAGATTGGCAACGCCGATGAGACCCCCGTGTGGTTTGACATGCCTTCGTCGACCACGATCATGCAGCACGGCGCCAAGGATGTGAAGCTGCTGTCCACCGGCAACGAGCACTCACGCTTCACCGTCATGCTGGCATGCACGGCAGATGGTAGAAAGCTTCCGCCGTTCGTCATTTTCAAACGCAAGACAATGCGAAGGTGCGACAGTTGGTGCGACAATGCGACAGTTGCGATGGTGGTAGAGGGGAGCTACGACGATCGGGGTGGGGTGCGCCCAATTCGCAAATTAGTGTGGTTCGGCAGTTTTGGGTTGTTTTTCTTTTTTTTTTTCCGGTAACCTGAACTTGGGGGGTCGACCTATATTCCCACTCAACCTATAGTCCGGTTTATACGGTAGTATCTTTGGGAAACAACCATAGTGCTTGTGTAGTTGCTGTGCCGAAAGCGTTGTAGCCTGTATAATACCTTACCAACATAATTATTGTCTTTGTGTAATTAATTACCAAAATAGTAAGTTACAGTCAGCATTATCAAGTAGAAGTAATCAATTATTTATAAAGATACCATGCATTGCAATTGCAAGTAATTAATTACATATACAGTTAAACCTCAATATAAAGAAGTACTAGCCTTTTATAACTCCACGTCCATAAAACATTGTGTACATTTAAGCATAGTATAACAAAGCGTATTTGGCCCGCCGCGTTGGTCTAGTGGCTAACGTACTCTGCTGCTGACACGCAGGTTGCGTAATTGAATTCCGGCTGTGGCGGCTGCATTTCCGACAGAGGCGGAAATGTTGTAGGCCCATGTGCTCAGATTTGGGTGCACGTTAAAGAACCCCAGGTGGCCGAAATTTCCTGAGTCCTTCACTACGCCGTCTCTCATAATCATATGGTGGTTTCAGGATGTTAAGCCCCACATATCAATCGTTATCAATCAACAAAGCGTATTTGTTCGCGATTTTAATACAACTGCTGCTGCAAAGGGAGACTGAGGCAATAACTTGAAACTTCTGCTACTGGTGCCACTGGTGTGAGTGACACTGAAGGCAAATAACATTTTATGTCAAAGTGAAAGGACAGTTCTTGAGAACATCAGGATATCAACACTATTCTAAGCAGTGCTTTAGTAATCGAGAAATTAGTAGAAAGCAAGGCAAATTCAATCAATCAGGCATTCTTGCCTCCCTGTAAGTATGGTCTCGCCACAGTTGGGAAAGATGCTGCTCTGCTTTGGCAACTACTGTTTGGCCTGTGGCACGTAATTTGAAAAATTTTGTATAAGAACTCTGTGTAACTAGGACATTTGACCTCAGCAACATGCATAAATTTATTGCCATGGTCTTTGTGTTGCCACATTTGGCAATATGCACACACGTGCATTTTTTGCTATTAGACACATAGTTGTTCGCGTTTAGGCGCATTGGGTTAGCAGGCCTGTTATTGTAAAGAAAGAACTTTAAAAGCCACTACATATTATTGCAATTTGCAGGTTTAAGACACTGCAACATCGAATTCAAGCCAGAATGCAAGAACTGAAGTCCATCCCGGTCAAGATCAACTCGTGAAGAGTGCATGTGTGTGCAATGTACCATCTGATGTTGCTTATGGGCACTTACCATTTTGGTTTATATTGTGTGCTCGGCAACCGCAAAACTTCTAATGCAGTGGTGTTATGTTGCATGTTGTCTATGCGGTCAATTTGTCACGTATTGTCTTGATACGAAAAGAAGCGCGAATTCTTTGAAAACTTTTTTCGGGATAAGCGAAAAATTCCATAATGCAAAAAAAAAGTTGGGTCGCTTAGCCTTTTGCAATCGACACACGCACATGTGTACACTGTTCGCAAACAGATTCTTTGTTGCACTTCACTCATCTTCGGTGGTTGAAGGCGCTATCTTCTGCAAGCTGTCCCCGCGTTGCCTGCGCATGTCATAAAAGCATTTCGCAGCTATCTTTTCTCGCGATTGTTTAACCGCAACAGTGGTATCCGCTGTGATCGCGAGGGGTGCTCAGAAGCATGGGCTACGACGCACTTTGTGAACTTCGTGGCAACCTCTCATGATGGCCTTGATGACACCATTGACATTGTAGCAAGTAACCAACACTACAGCAAGCTACCACCAAAGCATCAAAGTGAACCGTCGATAACAAGATTAACGACAAAGCATCGCCACCGCCCCGCTGTTCACATGAGAAGTTACTGTATAAAAGGTAGCCCATAACTTGCGTTCCTTTTAGTATGCGCGGGTAACAAGCACGAAGATCAAATTGCAACTGAAGTGAAAATCTGGGGTGCTACTATGTTCTGCAAATCCATGTCACGATCTTTTCTGGGCGAGAAGCGATGCTTTTTTTTTTCTGGTTTTTCAGAAACCTGTGATGCGATGGAGACGAATAGCCCTTCGCAACAGCCATGGTATGGTAGCCATGGAGATAGCAAATCCTGTTGTCGTCGCTCGAAAATCGCGTGCATGTGGTTAGGCCTTAAGGTTTCATATTTTCTGGAAGCAACTGCTGGTTGGCCCGGGCAGTTTTGAGACCTCCATTTGCTGTTTACTTGCATTTGTGAATCCCGCTGTGGTGCATAGATAATTTAAAAAGACTGGGGACGTGCCACACATGATTGATCATCATCATCATCAGCCTGACTACGTCCACTGCAGGACAAAGGCCTCTCCCATGTTCCGCCAGTTAACTCGGTCCTGTGCTTGCTGGTGCCAATTTATACCCGCAAACTTCTTAATCTTATCTGCCCACCTAACCTTCTGTCTCCCCCTAACCCGCTTGCCTTCTCTGGGAATCCAGTTAGTTACCCTTAATGACTAGCGGTTATCCTGTCTACGCGCTACATGCCCGGCCCATGTCCACTTCTTCTTCTTGATTTCAGCTATGATATCCTTAACCCTCGTTTGTTCCCTAATCCACTACGCTCTCTTCTTGTCCCTTAAGGTTACACCTACCATTTCTCTTTCCATTGCGCGCTGCGTCGTCCTCAATTTAAGCTGAACCCTCTTTGCAAGTCTCCAGATTTCTGCTCCGTAGCTAAGTACCGGCAAGATACAGCTGTTATATACCTTCCTCTTGAGGGATAGTGGCAATCTACCTGCCATAATTTGAGAGTGCTTGCCAAATGTGCTCCACCCCATTCTTATTCTTCTAGTTACTTCAATCTCGTGGTTCGGCTCCGCGGTTATTACCTGCCCTAAGTAGACATAGTCTTCTACAACTTGAAGTGCACTATTACCAATCTCGAAGCGCTGCTCTTTTCGGAGGTTCTTGTACATTACTTTCGTTTCCTGCAGATTAATTCTAAGACCCACCTTTCTGCTCTCCTTGTCTAACTCCGTAATCATGAGTTGCAATTCGTCCCCTGAGTTACTCAGCAATGCAATGTCATCGGCAAAGCGCAGGTTACTAAGGTACTCTCTATTAACTCTTATCCCTAACTGTTTTCATTCTAGGCTTCTGAAAACCTCCTGTAAGCAGGCGTTGAATAGCATTGGGGAAATTTTGTCCCCGTGCCTTACACCCTTCTTGATTGGTATTCTGTTGCTTTCTGTATAAAGCACTATGGTAGCAGTTGATCCCCTGTAGACATGATTGATATGTGGGATTTAACGTCCCAAAACCACCATATGATTATGAGAGACAGAGATGGAAAAAAAAAAAAAACACGCCGTGTGGCAGGAGGCAATGATGGGGAGAATGAGCCGAGTGGGTCGGCATAATAAACAACAAAAGAGATCTAACTGGCAAGGCCTCGCCAGGCGTTGGCTGGCGGGACTGCAGCGGATAAACGTAGGGGGTGTATTTATTATGCAGGGGGGGATCCAAATTTTGACAGGTGCATTTAATATGCGAGTGCGTTCATATACAGTAGTAATGATGATGACTGTGCATTATGTGAACTTAACATCATGCATGGAGGCAAAAAAAAGAACTGAAGAAAAGCCCCTACGTATCTCAATGCATTGCAGAAACTATAAAAGAATTGATGTGAAGTTTAGGGAGCAAACAACTCCATGGGTGGGGGGGGGGGGGACGAATGAGCGAGTATTCCAAGTGGGGCCTTTTCTGCAGATGTTAGGCCCCAAGGTAAACTTGGCACACAGTGTACATTTAGCATCCAGGAAAGTGCTGTAATCGTACACTCGCATTGCTGTTCTTATGTGCTCAAATTGTATTTGATTTACAGCTTGAAATTATGGTGTGCTCAAGTTAAGGAGGTACTAGTACATGCCACGATCGCAAACATTCAGCACCTGCATTATTGTTTCGAACTTACGCAGTGGCGATAAGTGCAATCCTTATTCTATGTAATCACGAGGTTAAATACGCAGTACTGCTACGGATTTTTGTTTATTGTTGCTCCCTTTCCCAATCAAATCATACGTACGTGTCTGAATGTGAAAAATGATGAACTTGAAGCTACCTTTATGTTGAAATATAGATAGCTGTCATATATTTAACTGCCATATACATACAATAAAGGGGCAGCACTTCTTGAGCATGATCAGAAAACGCTGTTGATCGGTAATTGAGGCTCTCTGAGAACACACAACCCAAATATTATAGAGCAGCACGCGGCCTGGAATTCACAATAATATCTGAAAGTCGCCTAAAGATTGCTTTCTGTTCTCTCCACAAATGATGCTACAAGCTCAGAAAGCACTCGTCGCATCTATTATATCGGCTATTAGCTGATTTGAGCATGGTGCGCTTGGTCGTTACTTTGGCCACCTCAACAGGCTGCGACTTGTCCACGTGTGCGTGTGCGGTCCCACTGAAAAGCAGTGTATTCAAAGTGGAAAAAAGATAGAAAGTGCTCAAAGTTGCGTGGTACACATTCTTTCCCCGTGCCATCCCTCCCTGCTTAGCTTCCAGCACTTTCGTTGGGACGAGACAAGAGAGAATGCAATTGCACTGTGTGACGAATCTTTGTAACTCTGCTCGTACTGGATGGATTCTAAGCATTTTTGCTGTGTTAAACATAGGTCGGCGAAATCTGTGGAGGCCACTCGTACTCAATTAAGAAATACGTTTAGCGCATTGAACTTGCTTGGACCCAGACACACCAAAATTTTCCTGAGCCAGACTCGCTCGTACTCAATCTCACGAAAATTTTCTTCCACCGAACTCTCTAGGACTAGAGCTCACCAAAAAAATATTGCTCACCCAGACTCACTCAGACTCACACTCATAACTCCGTCTGAGTGAATCCGAGTTAGTCAATTGATGAGTTCATTAGCCTAGAATTAGCTTTCTCACCAGGTGTCACTGCTCTTTAACACCAATATTTCACGTAATCGGTGCTCTTTTTAGCACTGCTTGATATACGTACCTTCAAATACGAGTTATGGGTGCTTGAAAACCAGTTAGGTCATTTTTCTTGGAAGAGATTACAACATAACTTATATTTATTAAAAACTTCTCTGGAAGCATTGGAGGGGGTGGGGGAACATCAAGGCACCCCGCTACATAATTTGTGCCTCTGATTGATAAATATGAAAGTGGTGTATGAGCAAAACTGCTGTGGAATACGGGTGAATATACTTGAGTATAAACGTTAACCCAGGTAAGGCTGATAGTAAGGCTGAAGATGAGTAGATAGGACCGTAGGTCGGCAAAAGAAAGTGTCACTCAATCAAAAAATATATCTTGCGCTTTGTACTCGCTCAGACTCTGCGAAATTTTCCTGGGCCGAACTCACTCGTACTCACACTCACGAAAATATTCTTCAGGTGGACTTCACTTGGACTCGGACTCACCACAATATTACTCACCCGAACTCACTCAGTCTCAGAATCACGGTTTGATCCGAGTCTAAATGAGTCGACTCTAGAGTAAGTTCGTCGACCTATGGTGGTGAATTTGTGAGGCAATTTTGAGAATTCACACCATAGCTACTTGCAAAAGTGTTGCAGGGCCCCTTTAATGCTTTGTTGTGAGAGGAGATCACTCTACTGGCCACGTAACAATGCGGGAACTTAGAAAGGTGTGGTGTCGCACATTTAAATGTACCTCTGCTTGAGGTTGCTACTCATGCTGAAGACTCGAGAATGTGACATCGGGGCCCCTCTTTTTTTTTCTTCCTCTTTGACTATATGGCTCATGGCACATATCCAATAACCCTAGTCTAGCAATGCGTTCAATATCCTTGAATTTTTTTTATTGACCTACATTATGCCAAAGATTAGGCGTGTTTGCTTTTGGTGCTAAGGAACTGTTTTTACAGCTTCTATAACCATCGTTCAGTATATTCCAATGTTGGGCATTATTGTACCGTGTGCTATGCAGTCGTTTTTACAGCTAGTGCAATCGTCATTCAGCATTACCACATGTACACTTTTTTTGTCCTTTTGTGGACGAGCATGAACAAAACCTTCAAAGGTAATAATTCGTTAGGTTGTTGCAATTCATTTTAACTCAAGAGCACCTTATGTAGTGCCACAGGTTTTGAGTACATTGCACAGACACAAAGAAAAGGTCTTATCTTATGCAGTGTTGCTCATTTTGGTCTGTATTTGGACCATCATAAAAAAAACTGGAAGTGCCATGTCATAGGACCATGTCATTACTCATTGATATTTAAAATTATCAGTTGATCATTGATCTTAAATTATCATTTTATCATTGATCTTGTGCAACCATTCTAAATACTCATGGTTTAGTGCCAAACTAGTTGTCATTGTGAACAAAGTACATAGTATGTTTACTGTGACAATTCGGTCTAACTTGGCAACTGGGAATGCTTAATGGACAGACAACCATTCAGAACTTATATTCTGATTTTCTTGCAGATGGAAGGATTGTGTCTTCTATTGACTGAAATTAGCCAGCATTTAAGAAGGGTTTATATATTTTTTAATTATTCATGCTCTGGTTGCAAAGAATAATGGTGTCTGGCATTCTAGAAGGAAGAACTTGACAGCATATGGGATCTCCTGTCACTCGACCTTGAATTAGTGTGTGCCGCTCCTTGGCCTTTGTTTAAATGAAAAGTTTTCTATAGCGTGATTTGTACAGCTCAACTTACAACTTTTGTAAGCAGGAAAGTGGTGATATAAAACTCTTTGGCTGTATTATGAAGCCACTCCTATGAAAACGCATCACATGGTCCTCATTACGATTGTATCACCAGTGCAAACATGGCAGTTTGGGCCATGTTTGGAGTGATTTAAGTTCTGGTATCACTGGTAAATAAGAATTTTTATTGTAATTTGCTACGTATTTTCAGCAACATATTTCACAATACGAAGGCACTTAAGGCTGGCTATTGGCATTGACATTACCTCCCAGGTGTCAGGAAGACTACCTTATTAAAGGGACACTAAAGGCAAATATTAAGTTGACCTTGACTGCTGAAATAGCGCTCCTAAAACCACGTAGTGCTACTTTTGTGCCTAGGAAGTGCTCATGTTTTGAGGGTCTGCATCGCGTGAGGGCACTTCAAATCACCCGCCTTGAAAACGGTCTTTCTGATGTCACTGTCGTGCCCAATGTTGTCCACCTTTATTGCATGTCCGCCGATACTAGCAGCAGCAGAGCGGAAGTAGCGGGAGGCACAGCAGCAACAACGGCCACTGAACAATATTCTGCTTGCTTGGTGCAACTGGGCCCCGCTAGA